CCGCCAAGCACAACATGGGAAGAAACAAAGAGAGAGAGAGAGAGAGAGAGAGAGAGAGAGAGAGAGAGAGAGAGAGAGAGAGAGAGAGAGAGAGAGAAAGAAAGAGAGAAAGAGAGACATGAAAGAAAAATGAGACGCCATCAGCGAGTATTGCTACGCCGTGGCGGGGTCCACTTGTATATGTAAATATAGAAATATGGGCCCAGTACTAATTCGATTTTCCTACAGCTACCCTAACTGCGAATAGTTGACCCGGGCTACCCCTAGGACAAACAGGCCGTATGGGCCTATGCTGATAGACGGTCCTATAGCCTACAGCCGGGTAGGGTTACGCCCTAGAGGCCGAAACAGAATCGGTACCGGTCGGTCAGTTAGTCCGGTCTAGGTCGGTCTAGGCTAGAGTTAGAGTATAGATAGGATGGGGACATTGGTCCTGAGCTTTTGGCAGTTGACACTTCGTGGTGGAAGTTGCTCGCACACGGTATCAGGTCGTGGTTGCTGATTCCCGTGGTGGAGACGGCGGACATAGCCAGACCTTCATAGCGCTGACCAGACTGGGGTCAACGCTGTCCGCTCTGACTCTCTGGGAGTCAAAGCGGTCTGGGCTATCAGAGGTCTGATGCGTTGGAGCACGTGGTGCAATGCTGACCCTCCTCAGGAGTAGGGTCCCAGTGGCGATGCAGCCATAGCTGCATCTTCTCAGAGATATCATCGTTTGGACTTCATCTTCATCAGGGACTGTTGGCGTTGAGCTTCTTCTTCATCATCTCGCCACTGTCTGGGTACGATCTGCTCCGATACCAACTTCTATGAACATGATTGTCTGTTGAAATTTTATCAACACTCACTCACACGAACTCCCGTACACGCCTATACATGCACAGAAGGAAGGGGAGAGGTAGTGGAGGGTCACACCGCCCAGAAAGAAAAACGCAGCGAAAGACTCAGAGAAGCGAAGTGACAGAATACACAATTCAATGAATTCTCTCCACAGAGATCCTAACAATCATTCATAGAAGACAACCGAGTGATCACAACCAGAAATCAATGAAGAGATGACAACTCAAACACAGTATACAACTGTTTATTAAACTCAAAGCATCGTTGTCACTGAATAACCTCAGAACCCTGTTGCGCTTCCCTCAGAGGGGTCGCGCCTCCACCCCAACACCCTGAATAGCTAAAAATAGCACTGAGACCCCAGGTAACACCCGACGCCACCCTGACATCCAACTCAACGCAGGAAGAAGGGTGCTCTGTTGGCTGCTGACACCGGTTCTGATTCGGATGCATCTCAGCGTGGTAGCCCTCCATCTGGGACTGCATCAGCATCAGTAGTTGAGCCAGCCGTTCTTGCCTGGCTGAGAACCTTGCTGCAATTTTCAAGGGAAAGACTGGGAACAACAGCAGCAGCAAGGGTTTAGCCAGCCAGAAGGGGAAAGGGAAGGGACGTGCCACTTCCCCTCAGGCCCAGATAGCTAACTTACCACGAGACGTCCATTGGCCAATTAACGTCATGGATCCTTCCACCCTTCCCTGGAGAGCGCTCAGGATCTAGGAAGGGCAATGGTAGAAAAGGAAGGAACGTGAGGTTTGTTTTCATTGTAAGGGGGACTTCCTGAAAGACTGTCCCCATATGCCTCGCAAACCTGGTTCTAGTTCAAAAAACTAGACCAGCAGAGGGAAGTGGAGTCAGCAGCTCCCTCCACTTGTGCTGATTCAGATTCTGACGAGTCTGAATCTGCATCTACCCTCACTGACTCTGTTGGAGTTGCTGAGTCAGGATCCTTCACTTACGTGGACCCTGACCTGGATGAGACGTGGCAGGAAGATGACAGCCATACTTTTGTTGATCTTTTCCTGTCTTTGCAGGAGAAGAAAAAGCATAAATCAGACCTCATCTTGTTGCGACCCTCCATCCTGGGAGCCAGGATCAAAGGCCTACTAGACTGTGGGGCTACGAGGAACTTCATCTCTCCCAAGGCTGTCAGCAAGCTGCATCTGGATGGGAGACTAGTGAAGTTAGAGTAGCCGCTGGACGTCCGTATTGGGGACTCTTCCACAGTCCGGATTACCTCTGTTGTCAAAAACCTACCGCTTATCTTTGACAAGCAGGAGAAGGTCAGGCAGCGCCTGAACTTCTATGTGTTCCCTAATGTGCCTTTTGATCTTGTGTTCTCCATGTAGTGGCTTGAGGCCACTAACCCTAGGATCGACTGGTCGTTCCCTAGGGTACAGCTCCCTGACTGTAGAGGGGACTATCAGCCTTGTGTCCTGGATGATGAGTACCACCCAGTCAGCAGTTGCTATTGTATGAGGGTACACGAGTTCTTTCAGCTCTCTCGCCAGACTGCCCACACACGTCAGTTTGTTGCATATGTGAAGCATGTGGATGTTGCTCCTTGTCCCTCACCGATTCAACAGGTTTTGGACCAGTATCCAGACCTGATGCAGGAGTCTACTGGACTTGTTCATAGCCAAACCCAGGTGCGGTCCCTCCCAAGGGTCGTATCTACAGGATGTCACCTGCTGAACTCGATGAGCTCAGGAGACAGCTCGAGACCCTGACCAGCAAGGGCTGGATCAGACCCATCACATCTGAATTTGGGGCTCCAGTTCTCTTTGTCCCAATGGGGAATGGAGAATTTAGGATGTGTGTGGATTACACGGGTCTCAATAAAATCACTAGGAAGTCTACAGAGCCCCTTCCTAGGATTGATGATCTGCTGGACATGGTGCAGGGCTGCACGATCTTTAGCAAGATCAATCTCAAATCTGGCTACCACCAGATTGAGATGGCTGAAGGCGATGTCCACAAGACTGCCTTCAAGACCAGATACGACACTTACGAGTACCTAGTCATGCCCTTCGGTCGTTGCAATGCCCCTGGCACATTCCAGACAGAGATGCATCGCATACTAAGGCCTTACCTAGACAGTTGCTTATGGTGACATCTATTCTCTCTTCACTCAAATCTGGTTCTTCTTTCTTTTCACTTGGTTCTCCCTTCCCTTCCTCCTTGATTTCCTGACAAGCTATCTTTGCCAACTGCTCGACGACAAAATGGTTGAGGCTCATTTGAGCCCGATCATTGATCTGTTGCACGCGTCCGTTGGTTTCCAACATCTCAACAACGGTTTCCGTCGTCAACAGTTCATTCTCTGCAGCACACAGATCAAACCGCCGGCTGCGTACATGCTGCTCATCGTCTGGACCAACGTCGTGCAATTCCTTGAGCATTGGCGAGGACGGCTCATCATTTGTTATTGTTTGTCCTCAATTTGTCCTCTGGTTATATTTTTTATATTTTGATTTTTATAAGATACAATGCATATTTATGTAATTATTTTTCAATTCTATATATTCCATAAAACATTAAATGCATCATATCATATATCAAATATATATTAATTATCATTATAATAATAATTATCATATTGTAGATCTTTCACTCTGCTTTTGATTTCAATTCATTGACATTATAAACAACCTTCTTCCAGATCAGCGAAGAAAGTGAACGAGATAGGGAAGAAGAAGAGTGGGATGAACCTAGTCAGAATGGATGCACGCAAGCATCTCCAAAGGTAAGTCATGCTTGCAAATGAGCATGCTGAACAATGAATTTAAAAAGACAGCTGTAAATTCCATGATCTCAGCACAAACGATTTTTTAGTGATACAGCAAGAAATGGAAAAAAAAAAGAACTAAATACACGACCAAAATTTCTTAATATTTCTAAGTCTATTATCTTCTAGTTTCCTGATCAATGATGTTTTACTCTAAAGGACTGTGCTGGCTCCGTAGCACAACCAATGAGACCAAGACAACCCACGACAGGTGAGTACACAAAGACAATCAGAAACACATCCAACAAACAAGCGTTAACTGCTCTCCTTTGTTGTCTTCTTGCAAATAATTGTGTGACCAAACACATGCCTTGGCGCGTGGTACTACAACATATTCTAATGCTATACCACTTGCCAGGTCATACACGTGCAAGGTTTTGTCCACACCGGTCTCTCTTTCGGCTTGGCAGTCTGCCATGTCAGTGCTACCACGTGCTCCACATCAGCAAAGCCTCGGTGACACATCAGCAGGACTTATGGCATGGCACGTTAGCGTCAATGGCCAACTAGGTCACATCAGTGGTAGAGTGCTACTTGGAGCAAGTGAGCAATGGAATACTGCTCAGAACCGTATCTGCTCACTGGAGAAAATGTCGCGTCAACCTGCGTCACACGCTGCCACTTCGGAAGGTGCTGCGTCAATGGAGGTACGTCGCGACATTCGAAAAATGTTGCGCCAACCTTTGTAGCTTCTATAAGGTGCCACGTCAGCACCTATCTGCGCTGCCACCTCAGTAGGCAGCGTGCCATGTCATCAAGAAACACCTTCGGAGGAGGGGAGTCCAATAGCACTATCAAGCTTGCCACGTCAGCAGGCCACTACCAGCGTCAGCGCCGAAGGAATGTCCGCGTCACTAGGTAAGTGCCTCCTCTCCTTCCCCTTCCACGTTGGTGAGTTATCAAGCAGCGATGAGAATAGACAATGTTGCTCTTCTCCTCCACCGCCGACACTTCAGATCCTTGTCATCATCATCATAGTCATGCAGAATGTCTCAACCAGCAGATGGCGATGAAAGAAGATATCACTTTGATACCAAATTGCAATGAACCTAGTCAAATAAGAAGCTCACGCTCAAGGTGGGACCAGTGGGTGGTGATGCAATGCAACGGACCAATTTTGCTTTCCCCAACGGTTTTTCATATTTATTTCGAATGTTGCACCCTTTTGAGCAAGGTTTTACTTCTTTTGCGGCAGGGGTTGTTCAACAACAGTATATACCTCGTAGTCCATTAGACATTTTTTTTGCGTCGAATGTGTTGATTCCTAGGTTGTTGTGTTGCGTTGTGGTGCCGTTTGTAGGATCGGATCATAAAACTTTGTTTTTGAAATTTTTTGATTGTCTCAGTCCGTGTAGGCCATGATAAAAAATTGTTGCCAGAGTGGGTGGTGAATACTCAACAATTTACTCAATTTTTGTACGAGTTCTGGCCGAAATGGCGAACTTATAAACATTTGTTTTCCTCTTTGATTGAGTGGTACCTTGGGGAACAACGAGTAGTGCTGCAAAGGGGTATGCTGATTAAATGGATGATACAGGCTACTAACCGCATTGAGGTCCAACAAATCAATGATGAAATGCAAGACCTTATGCACCTTGCCTCAAGTTCTCGACGTGTTGATGAGCGGTTTCTGATGAACCGAATGAACTATTTCCAGCCAGCGATGAGGACCGTGACACATAATAGACGTGTTGGCTGGCTCGTACGAGGGGATCGTATAACAACCTCATTCTTTGCCAGTCACCGGCCATCCACCTGACAACGTTTGATTTTGGCCATGCAACATCCGTTTGATGCGTAGGCACCCCCTGCCACAGACACTCATGCTATTATAACCAATATATCTTTATTCTATGAGAGTATGCTGGCTTCGCAGACCCAACATACTGAACAACAGTCGCTTCACCAATTTCATCATGATGTCTATGCCAAAATCGATAGGAAATTGAGTGTAACTCAAAGGCACACGGTGCAGGAAGTGACTGATGCGCTCAGATCTTTGGCGTTGCACAAAACACAAGGCTTGGATTGGCTACCTGCGCGTTTTTTTTGAAAAGTTTCGTTGCATTTGCTGTCATAATTATTGCAAATCTATCAGGCGGTGTGAAATGGTGCTTCCTTCCCGCCTCAGGTGGTGCAAGGGATTATCACACTTACATTTAAGAAAGGGGACAATACAGACATTAAGAACTACAGACAGATCACATTGATGCCCACACTCTACAAAATCTTCGCTAAGGTTCTCACTGCGAGACTTCAAAAAACGCTCCCTTCCTTGATCCATCCATCGCAAACTGGATTTGTTCCTGACGACAATTTTTTATCGAAATACAAGTCTGACATAGTGCAGCATCAATGTCTCCAAAAATCGTTTATGAAACCATGCTTGTCGTACATGTAGCCTTCCAATGTCTCGAACTCAGAAAAGAGAATTCGGAGAGAGGGAGAAGAGACTGAGAGGAGTAGGAGGAGGAGGAGAGTTTCCACAAGAATCAGAAGCAGAATTCCCCAACAAGCCCACTTCCTCTTCGGGTATCTCCCTCACTCTCCACATCAGCAATACAGTTCTCCCCTGACAATCTGTGACATGCGAACAGGTCACAACAAGGCGCCCATCCGACAACCACATCAGCAGCAATCGAGGAGGATGGTGCAGATCTTCCTCTTGCAGACGAGCAGCAAAGCACACGCGTCGTCACAGGTAAGTCCAGGTAAGCTTCTCCTCATCACTCACACCAATCTCACAATCCAAATCTTCCTCCTCCTCGCCCACATTCCTATCAATGTGGAAATCAACGTGGCTATGGCCACGCCAGCATAATCACCCTCACGGTTGGCGCCCACAGTCAAAATCTGGTGCCAGCATAAAGCTCCAGCAGTTGTGCATCATCGAACCCGCATCAAGAGCGCCACGCAGGATGCACAAGACTGAATGATCTCCAAGCAGGGGCTGGTTCAACTTACACTGTTGACTCATGTTGACCAGCCTCTGGTCTCCTGCGTTGACAACCCAAATTAATTTGAAGCCAATGGCCTGGTTACTGTACAGTTGCAGATTTCCCACGTGTCCCACTTGGACCGGATTCTTCTGGATATCTGCAAACAACCAATGATGTGCATCTGATCTACGGTCGTGGCTGCCCAATGGGTTGACTTTGACCTCCGGGCTTGGATTTCCGAGTTGGGGTCCACCGTTGACTTTCTCAAAGTCAACTATTCCTCGTAGGGCCTCTGCTGGTTTTGGCCCTCCCCTGGGGCCTTTGCCCAAGCTCTTCTTAGTCTTAGGGCGTCACTTATGACCCCTGTGTCAGGCCTTTGACCAAAAGTGACGACCTAGAGCCCACAACTTATGCGCGAGTTATTGCACAATCCCTAAACCGAGGAACGGGACAGAGCTAGGAACACCCTGGCCCCAGCAGGTAGTGTGAGACCCACTCCACAAATTATGAGTTATAGTATAGTAGATGTAATGAGCCCACGTCTTCACATACACATCCACTCTATACGGGTTCACATCAAGCTCACACGCGAGATACAAACAACATATGCGCCAAAGTTTTATCCAACAGTCTCCCTCCCTGCCTCTCTGAACGTCTCCCTTAGTGTCCCTCTCTCTCTCTCTCTCTCTCTCTCTCTCTCTCTCTCTCTCTCTCTCTCTCTCTCTCTCTCTCTCTCTCTCTCTCTCTCTCTCNCTCTCTCTCTCTCTCTCTCTCTCTCTCTCTCTCTCTCTCTCTCTCTCTCTCTCTCTCTCTCTCTCTCTCTCTCTCGCTCTCCCTCTCTCAAGCTATTGCTATGGCGTCGAGAACCATGGACTGCTCTACAACAACGTCTTTATGTCACTAGATGGTTGGTAGCACAAGACTGCAACATCCCTTTTGTAGCACACTCGAGGTAGACCGAACATTCAAGAGTGCGACTTGGGTTATAGAAGGTGACATTACCACAGCCCGACGGATGCCTCACAAGGTTATTCTAGGAACCTTTCAGAAGAAATTGCTTGTAGAAAATTTACGAGCTTAGTCTGAAAATCCCTCCTAAGTGTCGGATATGCTCTTACGTTCTTGCAATCACCTCATCAATTGGACAAATACATCGAGGAGACCCTAAAGGAGCAATACGACAAGCACAAAGTGGCAGACCTAAACTCTCTACGACTTAGCTATGTGCGATACACACACGACTTTGTGATAGGCATTCCTTGCCCTCTTCCTGACGCAATTGAGATATGTGATCTTCCTAGGTATCCAAACATCGCGTGGT